ATATATACTAACGGTTGTAAGCTCTTTCATGGCTATTAAATTACATCCAGTGTAAGAAAACATGAACCTCGTTAGATATATACTAACGGTTGTAAGCTCTTTCATGGCTATTAAATTACATCCAGTGTAAGAAAACATGAACCTCGTTAGATATATACTAACGGTTGTAAGCTCTTTCATGGCTATTAAACATTCACAAAAAATGTATGATATGGATTCTAAATGGAGTCAAAGATCAGATATACAAGTCTGTCTCTTCCAATTTTTGTTGGCCAATAAACAGTGAGAGGTGAATAAGGAATGGCAGGTCGATTATGTTACTCATATTTTTAAGAGGGGGGTGATAAGAGTTGCCCTAGAAATTATAGGTCACTTAGTCTTTTGTTGTAGAAAAGTTTAATCAAAAATAGTTTACTTTTACTGTTGTCATTAAACTCCTACGTATTTCAACTACTACTTAAAATTCTAGTGCTGTACTGAAGGTGTTGGTGTATTTACAGAATGACTTGGGTCAATCAGCAAGCTGGAAGAATACTTGGCAAATTGTATTTTAATTCACTTTGTATGTCTATATTTCCAGTTAACATCTCCCATGGATCTGAAGCTAGCAGAACCAAACTTCACAATTGTACTCAGGTTGGTCCAGGGGGTGTCTATATCTGTATTCCCTACCCCCCCCCCCACAAGAAGGGTTAAAATGCCCCTGGAAGGTCACCCGGTTATGATGTGGGTCCCAGAATAGGTTTTCGTGGTAGCTTAACCTGAATCCGGAATTGGATGTTGTGTTCTTGGCCCTCTTATCATCCTTAAATTTAAAAGTTAAAGTAACGTACCATTTCACTGCTACTTTTGTCTAACACTAACAATAACATACTACTACAAATATAATACTTACAAGACTTAGTACTACACTTAAAATAGTAATATTGGTACAAATTATTTGAGGTCTACGTGATCGAAGTCCTACTTAAATTGCAGCAGTACGATTAGTAATATTAACAGTACTAGTAATGGTATACTATATTATTACACCCTTTTGAATCCGAACGTTAGGCCTATCTTATTCTGGAGTCTTACTCCCTATCCTGGCCTGATTGTTATAAATTAATATACGATAATTTCATACGGGTGAAAAACTAAAAAGCTTTCTAAAGATATAAACAAAACGAAAAGCACCATACCGAAATACTCCGAACAAAACATGCATTAAATAATTTTGTTGTAGACATTATGCTCCAATCTACAAAGTACACTACAAAACCCTCAGAATCAAACTTGAGAAAGGTCAGACTGCTACCAATATCCCATAATTCTCTGTAGTACAGTGAAATTCGAAGTAATGTTGATATCGTCAAAGCGAATATGGGGCAACTGTACTAGACTCTGGTTATATGATAAAAAATATCCCAATGTAAAATTTTATTCTATAAATTATATATATTTCAACAATTTTCTTCTTCTTGGAGTGGATAGGTAATGTTGGCTATGGTTTTAGACTAACGTTATATGGATAAAAAAATCATAATGCTAAGTTTTATTCTAAAAATTTAATATTTCATCAAGTTTATTCTTTTTTTGGAGTAGATAGATGCTGTATGCAAAATCCTTTCATAAATAAAATACTCGTAATTTTATTGTTAACTGACATGTACAGCCCCCGGTGTTTCAGCGGTAAGTCTGGGGCTTATAAGTTATAATGCTAAAAATCAGGTTTCGATACCTACGGTGGGCAGAACACAGATAGTCCATGGTGTAGCTATGCGGTTAATAACAAACAAATGAACAATCTCATTAAATAAGAGCTGGTGTTAAAAGAAGGGAGGGTATTGTGTAAATGACTTAAATGGAAGACATTTCATCAATACTGTAATTACTGTTAATTTCACTATTCCATAACCACCATAGTGTATATCTTTTATAAAGTATATTTGGATATTTTTTCTAAATTTCTCACAGTGGTATTTAGCTATGACATCCTTATTAATTGGATGTTGCAGGTTCCTCAAATGTACTACTTTTATTTTGGTAAAGGTTACATTCTGTTTTTAAATCTCAAGCTAGAATGTACGAGTTTCTGCATACAATTCTAGCTAGGAAACGTGCCTATTCAAGCAGGGGATTTATGCAGAAACCTACAGAAATTGGCCCGGGATGGTTATATTTGTAGGTAGATTAACGGTTGGACTATTTAGTCTAGGGGATTGTTGTATATCACACTAAAGCTTTGGTCCAATTACAAAACTAGGTATCCACTGATTTCTGTATTTTGATTTCTTCCTCTTTCTGTTCTTTTCATACTATTGCAAACCATACTTTCATTGTTTTGATTTAGATATTCGCATAGAGGGCGCGTGAGGTTAAGACTTAGTAAATTTCATTAGCATCTAGACAGATACATTAGTTACAAATACGAGAATCAGTGGAGCCAATCAGAATGAAGTATTTAATAAGCAGTTGTTGAATATTCATCGAAATTTATCATGTCTATTCTGATATTAAATCACTTGGTGAATCATGTATTTGATTATCTAAGCTAAGTAGGTAAGTTAGGTCTATGTCTTTGATAGTTTGATTTTATATTGAAACGTTGTATTTCAGGTCGGGCCTACATTTAGTTGCAGATTTTAAGTCTTGTTTAAAAGTTAATGTATTTGAATTTGCGTTATGTGAAGAAATAAATTAACTCGTTATTGTCACGCCGACTGGACTTCGTATTATTTTCACCAAATAATTTAGAAGATATTTTTCAGTAATAGAACATGTTACAACAATACGCTTTGGAAATCCTCTTACTAGCTCCAGCAACCAATTAGAGCCGGCCAGTAGGTAAATACCCAGAACACTGTGAATAAAGACTTATTTAAACTGTTTCATTTGTCCCGCGTGTGGTATTCAGGTACACCGACATTTTACAGAAAAGTTTAAAATTTCCGCGAAATGCAAGTTCAGAACTATTACACAAACAATAAATGGAAGACGGACAAGCAACCACAAATGAACACAGTTTTTATTCACAATTGACACTATGTGTAGGTTGTAATAATTTATTGCCCAGCTTCCAATCTGTATTACGACTGTCTGGCTGCTGGGGTCGAGAGCAAGAACACAAAAGTTAAACTGAGACAAAACCAGAAGCAAAACACAGTCAACATTAAGAGCAAGAGAGTGGAAACCAAGAGACAGAATTATGGGGAAATCATACTTTTATGACTGAAGCCTCACTGTGGTATACGTAAGTCTTTAGGTTATGCACTTCAACCAGTAGTCCACGCACAATTTTAAATTAAATTTGAAAATAAAGCCAGTTTGTACAAGTTTCTAAATCACCTCCTGAATAGTCTGTCTTCATATATGTATAAAAGTATGTTCCCCAATGGGTACATGTTAGCTTTAGACTTCATAAGAAAGATAGCAGTATGTAAACTTTGCCTCTGTCAATGGACGTGATTAACTACATAGAAAAATTATATGAATATAATGTAGATATGTTGTAGACTAGTTATAGAAGCGTACATTTGTAACCATTTTAGCTACGACATGTTCTTGAAATATTAAGCTTCAAACTCTGGAAGGTGCGTTTTGGGGAAACTTTAAACTTATCGGTTAGATGATAGTGCACCTAAATATCACAAGTGTATTTCTACACTAATTTTGTATTCCACCAAAACCCCTTTTTAAGGAAATCATATTGTTACGTCTCCATTTGTTAATTGATTTTACGTAAATTCGTTCCGACGAAACTTTAGCGACACAAGTCCTTACT